TTGTAGAGCCAACCAGCACCTCTTTTCCTGTTTGTAGAGCCAACCAGCACCTCATTTCCTGTTTGTAGAGCCAACCAACACCTCTTTTCCTGTTTGTAGAGCCAACCAACACCTCTTTTCCTGTTTGTAGAGCCAACCAACACCTCTTTTCCTGTTTGTAGAGCCAACCAACACCTCTTTTCCTGTTTGTAGAGCCAACCAACACCTCTTTTCCTGTTTGTAGAGCCAACCAGCACCTCTTTTCCTGTTTGTAGAGCCAACCAGCACCTCTTTTCCTGTTTGTAGAGCCAACCAACACCTCTTTTCCTGTTTGTAGAGCCAACCAACACCTCTTTTCCTGTTTGTAGAGCCAACCAACACCTCTTTTCCTGTTTGTAGAGCCAACCAACACCTCTTCTCCTGTTTGTAGAACCAACCAACACCTCTTTTCCTGTTTGTAGAGCCAACCAACACCTCTTTTCCTGTTTGTAGAGCCAACCAGCACCTCTTTTCCTGTTTGTAGAGCCAACCAACACCTCTTTTCCTGTTTGTAGAGCCAACCAACACCTCTTTTCCTGTTTGTAGAGCCAACCAACACCTCTTTTCCTGTTTGTAGAGCCAACCAACACCTCTTTTCCTGTTTGTAGAGCCAACCAACACCTCTTTTCCTGTTTGTAGAGCCAACCAACACCTCTTTTCCTGGTTGTAGAGCCAACCAACACCTCTTTTCCTGTTTGTAGAGCCAACCAACACCTCTTTTCCTGTTTGTAGAGCCAACCAGCACCTCTTCTCCTGTTTGTAGAGCCAACCAACACCTCTTTTCCTTTTTGTAGAGCCAACCAACACCTCTTTTCCTGTTTGTAGAGCCAACCAGCACCTCTTTTCCTGTTTGTAGAGCCAACCAACACCTCTTTTCCTGTTTGTAGAGCCAACCAACACCTCTTTTCCTGTTTGTAGAGCCAACCAACACCTCTTTTCCTGTTTGTAGAGCCAACCAACACCTCTTTTCCTGTTTGTAGAGCCAACCAGCACCTCTTCTCCTGTTTGTAGAGCCAACCAACACCTCTTTTTCTTTTTGTAGAACCAACCAACACCTCTTTTCCTGTTTGTAGAGCCAACCAACACCTCTTTTCCTGTTTGTAGAGCCAACCAACACCTCTTTTCCTGTTTGTAGAGCCAACCAACACCTCTTTTCCTGTTTGTAGAGCCAACCAACACCTCTTTTCCTGTTTGTAGAGCCAACCAGCACCTCTTTTCCTGTTTGTAGAGCCAACCAACACCTCTTTTCCTGTTTGTAGAGCCAACCAACACCTCTTTTCCTGTTTGTAGAGCCAACCAACACCTCTTTTCCTGTTTGTAGAGCCAACCAGCACCTCTTTTCCTGTTTGTAGAGCCAACCAACACCTCTTTTCCTGTTTGTAGAGCCAACCAACACCTCTTCTCCTGTTTGTAGAGCCAACCAACACCTCTTTTCCTGTTTGTAGAGCCAACCAACACCTCTTTTCCTGTTTGTAGAGCCATCCAGCACCTCTTTTCCTGTTTGTAGAGCCAACCAACACCTCTTTTCCTGTTTGTAGAGCCAACCAACACCTCTTTTCCTGTTTGTAGAGCCAACCAACACCTCTTTTCCTGTTTGTAGAGCCAACCAGCACCTCTTTTCCTGTTTGTAGAGCCAACCAACACCTCTTTTCCTGTTTGTAGAGCCAACCAACACCTCTTTTCCTGTTTGTAGAGCCAACCAACACCTCTTTTCCTGTTTGTAGAGCCAACCAACACCTCTTTTCCTGTTTGTAGAGCCAACCAACACCTCTTCTCCTGTTTGTAGAGCCAACCAACACCTCTTTTCCTGTTTGTAGAGCCAACCAACACCTCTTTTCCTGTTTGTAGAGCCAACCAGCACCTCTTTCCTGTTTGTAGAGCCAACCAACACCTCTTTTCCTGTTTGTAGAGCCAACCAACACCTCTTTTCCTGTTTGTAGAGCCAACCAACACCTCTTTTCCTGTTTGTAGAGCCAACCAACACCTCTTTTCCTGTTTGTAGAGCCAACCAACACCTCTTTTCCTGTTTGTAGAGCCAACCAACACCTCTTTTCCTGTTTGTAGAGCCAACCAACACCTCTTTTCCTGTTTCTAGAGCCAACCAGCACCTCTTTTCCTGTTTGTAGAGCCAACCAACACCTCTTTTCCTGTTTGTAGAGCCAACCAGCACCTCTTTTCCTGTTTGTAGAGCCAACCAACACCTCTTTTCCTGTTTGTAGAGCCATCCAGCACCTCTTTTCCTGTTTGTAGAGCCAACCAACACCTCTTTTCCTGTTTGTAGAGCCAACCAACACCTCTTTTCCTGTTTGTAGAGCCAACCAACACCTCTTTTCCTGTTTGTAGAGCCAACCAACACCTCTTTTCCTGTTTGTAGAGCCAACCAGCACCTCTTCTCCTGTTTGTAGAGCCAACCAACACCTCTTTTCCTGTTTGTAGAGCCAACCAACACCTCTTTTCCTGTTTGTAGAGCCAACCAACACCTCTTTTCCTGTTTGTAGAGCCAACCAACACCTCTTTTCCTGTTTGTAGAGCCAACCAGCACCTCTTTTCCTGTTTGTAGAGCCAACCAACACCTCTTTTCCTGTTTGTAGAGCCAACCAACACCTCTTTTCCTGTTTGTAGAGCCAACCAACACCTCTTTTCCTGTTTGTAGAGCCAACCAGCACCTCTTTTCCTGTTTGTAGAGCCAACCAACACCTCTTTTCCTGTTTGTAGAGCCAACCAACACCTCTTCTCCTGTTTGTAGAGCCAACCAACACCTCTTTTCCTGTTTGTAGAGCCAACCAACACCTCTTTTCCTGTTTGTAGAGCCATCCAGCACCTCTTTTCCTGTTTGTAGAGCCAACCAACACCTCTTTTCCTGTTTGTAGAGCCAACCAACACCTCTTTTCCTGTTTGTAGAGCCAACCAACACCTCTTTTCCTGTTTGTAGAGCCAACCAGCACCTCTTTTCCTGTTTGTAGAGCCAACCAACACCTCTTTTCCTGTTTGTAGAGCCAACCAACACCTCTTTTCCTGTTTGTAGAGCCAACCAACACCTCTTTTCCTGTTTGTAGAGCCAACCAACACCTCTTTTCCTGTTTGTAGAGCCAACCAACACCTCTTCTCCTGTTTGTAGAGCCAACCAACACCTCTTTTCCTGTTTGTAGAGCCAACCAACACCTCTTTTCCTGTTTGTAGAGCCAACCAGCACCTCTTTCCTGTTTGTAGAGCCAACCAACACCTCTTTTCCTGTTTGTAGAGCCAACCAACACCTCTTTTCCTGTTTGTAGAGCCAACCAACACCTCTTTTCCTGTTTGTAGAGCCAACCAACACCTCTTTTCCTGTTTGTAGAGCCAACCAACACCTCTTTTCCTGTTTGTAGAGCCAACCAACACCTCTTTTCCTGTTTGTAGAGCCAACCAACACCTCTTTTCCTGTTTCTAGAGCCAACCAGCACCTCTTTTCCTGTTTGTAGAGCCAACCAACACCTCTTTTCCTGTTTGTAGAGCCAACCAGCACCTCTTTTCCTGTTTGTAGAGCCAACCAACACCTCTTTTCCTGTTTGTAGAGCCAACCAACACCTCTTTTCCTGTTTGTAGAGCCAACCAACACCTCTTCTCCTGTTTGTAGAGCCAACCAACACCTCTTTTCCTGTTTGTAGAGCCAACCAACACCTCTTTTCCTGTTTGTAGAGCCAACCAGCACCTCTTTTCCTGTTTGTAGAGCCAACCAACACCTCTTTTCCTGTTTGTAGAGCCAACCAACACCTCTTCTCCTGTTTGTAGAGCCAACCAACACCTCTTTTCCTGTTTGTAGAGCCAACCAACACCTCTTTTCCTGTTTGTAGAGCCAGCCAGCACCTCTATTCCTGTTTGTAGAGCCAACCAACACCTCTTTTCCTGTTTGTAGAGCCAACCAACACCTCTTTTCCTGTTTGTAGAGCCAACCAACACCTCTTTTCCTGTTTGTAGAGCCAACCAACACCTCTTTTCCTGTTTGTAGAGCCAACCAACACCTCTTTTCCTGTTTGTAGAGCCAACCAACACCTCTTCTCCTGTTTGTAGAGCCAACCAACACCTCTTTTCCTGTTTGTAGAGCCAACCAGCACCTCTTTTCCTGTTTGTAGAGCCAACCAACACCTCTTTTCCTGTTTGTAGAGCCAACCAGCACCTCTTTTCCTGTTTGTAGAGCCAACCAACACCTCTTTTCCTGTTTGTAGAGCCAACCAACACCTCTTTTCCTGTTTGTAGAGCCAACCAACACCTCTTCTCCTGTTTGTAGAGCCAACCAACACCTCTTTTCCTGTTTGTAGAGCCAACCAACACCTCTTTTCCTGTTTGTAGAGCCAACCAGCACCTCTTTTCCTGTTTGTAGAGCCAACCAACACCTCTTTTCCTGTTTGTAGAGCCAACCAACACCTCTTTTCCTGTTTGTAGAGCCAACCAACACCTCTTTTCCTGTTTGTAGAGCCAACCAACACCTCTTTTCCTGTTTGTGCACATCAACCTTATTACTGAAGCATTCTTGCTCATCCCCCTCTCGCCTCTCTACCCCCCTGCTTCTGCCGCAGGTCGCGCAATTCCCCGTGCCACGAGAGAGAGAGGTGCCTGCTAGCAGTCCCAACCAGCACCTCTACCTGCATTGAATCATTCCTCACCCCCTCTCGCCTCTCTACCCCTTTGCTCTTGCCTCAGGTCGCTCAATTCCTCGTGCCACGAGTGAGAGAGGTGCCTGCTAGCGGAGCCACAGCTCCCCTTCCTCTCTGTCACAGGTCTTCAGAGTTTTTGAGTCGACTCATAACACGGCTCCCTTACCCGCTACTTCCTCCCTCTCTCTCCGTCTTCTCTGTCACAGGTCGCTCAATTCCTCGTTCCACGAGTGCAAGAAGTCCCTGCCAGTTGTGCCAACACCTCCACCTACATCAAGGTTCTCACCAGGCCTTAAGGCATTTTCCCTTGTTCTTTCCCCCACGCTCTAACCCGCCTTGTTTCTGTCACAGGTCGCTCAATTCCTCGTGCCACGAGTGAGAGAGGTGCCTGCTAGCGGAGCCAGCACCTCCACCTACATCAAGTTTCTCACCAAGCCTAAAGCCTTCTCGCAAATATTCCAGGTATGCCATGGCATTACGTACATAACAGGTTCTTTTATATTGGTAATAGTGTTGTCAACCTTATGAAAACGAAGGGTTAATAGTATAGAAGTGCAATGCAAAGATATGTGATTAAACACCAATGTTTTTCACAAGCAACATTGCAACCTTGACAACCGTCATGTCTTTCATGACTTTTTTTCTGCCTGGTTTTCTCTATTGTCTCTCAGCGTGCCCTCTTCGGCCTGAGGAAGAACCGTTATGTGAAAGAAGACTGATGTTATGGATTTACCAGGTGACATGTAATGTATCCAAAGAGTTGTAAGAAAGTGTTATGAAATTAGAATCGTCAATCTTTAGAGGCTCCTCCACAAGGCTCGGGTCGGGTACACCCTAGTTAAAGCCTCTGTCGTCACCAAAGAGTTAGTAGTAGATTTGTGAGCATGTGCCTTAGGGCGTGTCTGAATCTAGAGTTTACCTTAAGTTTAGGTTTTTGACTCGATTGTAGCAAGTGAACACTAAGCGAACCTGACTCGATTTTGAGTGTTTGCAAGGGTCGAACCGCAAGTGTCAAAAGTTGTAAACTCACAACCACACGCGCAAGTCAGGGCTGACGATATCAAGGTAATTACCCGGATTTCAGGGTGATTACAGGCTTCTGACTTGGTGGTCCCTGCAAACTCAGGTTTTGTATTTTGTGAACTCTGATCCAATCAGAGAAGCTACTTAACGGACTCTGAATTCTTGTAACCAGGCTCAGAGTAGTGTACTTGCGGACTCTGTCTATGCAGGGTATGCGTTCCGTGGACCCTGAATGCGAGGGTCTCGGGACGAAGTTTCCTAGAAGCTTCGTTTCGATAACCCCCTTGTGCGTAATCATTTCTTCGAGTGGCCCCATGTGAGGTACCCCCTTCACGCGCCCGTGAGTGACGTAATACCGACAAAGGAAAACATTGACGTGCTGTACATCACAGCTGGCAACAGCGCCAACGCAGCCAAATCAATGATCCGGTCAGCGCACCGCACAATGCACAGCATGTGTCTGCCATTGGCCACAATGGCCTGTTGACAGCATGCGGTGGCAACCAAGGAGTCCGTGAATGAATTCGGCCTTGAATGCAACGACGAAGTCATCGTCGAATGTTGCCATCAAGTCCGTGGAATCGCGGCGCGGTAGTTTCGCACTCCCGCCATCTCCAACCTCCCCTTCCCTCCCCATACCAACGGCCAACGTTCCTTTGTTCACTGGTGTGTTCTTTCCATTACGTACATTCATTGTCTCATTTTCCTCTCGTTCAGTTTAGCCACCAATGGAGGCCATGCCGGCCGATGAAGCTGCTCCGGACACTGGCCCCGACGAGCCGCCTATAACAGCGAAACCAACAGCGCCGTCCCAGCCGGAGAAAGCTTCGGATGCTCCCCGCTCTGGGCTAGATTTTCTTAGACCTACGGCTGCTCCCGTCACACCTGAACCGCCTAGGTCTACCGTTCACGACTCTGCCCCTGTAGTAACCCCTACTCCTACTGGTTCTCCTATTCCCGTCCCGTTCACTCTCCCCCCGGCTGTTGCTGGCTGCAGCAAAGATCCTCCACCGCCCTCGCCCAGTCTTACTCCAAGCACGGTGCGGGTGTCCCTTGGCCCGCCGTCGGCTACTTCCGCTCCCAAGCGTGCGCGATCTGGAAAGTGGGCGCAGAGTACTCTGCTGGTGGGAGGCCGCCGTATTCCACCGCCGGAAAAGCCCGATGAGCCTGCACAGAAAGAAGCTGAGCTGCCGGAAGAAGGTGACATCCCGGTGCGCGCGGATACCGGCTCGCCGGCAAGACGCAGCTGCGAGAGCAGATGTACCTGGAGGCGAGTATTAATTACGAGACGAAGTGGGCGGGATACTTTTCTTGGCTTGTGTTTGGGAAAACCAAGGACGGTTTCCCGTACGTGAAGTGCAGCATCTGCATGTTGTACGGTAAGGGGAACACGAGGTACGCCATGTAGGGAGATGATGGAGGCCGTGACTTGCAGACGCAGTCGTTCCGGGCGCACGAGCATACGGACGCACACATGGCGGCGGTGGACCGCCGGATGAAGATTGCGGCGGGAATCCGCGAGGGGCAGCAGGTGATTTCGGACTTCATCAGCTCCGACGTCGAGGGCCGCCGCGCGATACGGCTGATGCGGTCGACTCAGTTCCTGTGCCAGTGCGACGCGCCGATTAGCATGTTTCCTAAGCTGATGTGGCATCTTGCGGAGCAGGACACGCCAGACATTCCCCGGCAGTCGTACGGCGTTTATCTCACGTGGTAAGTGACGGTTCAAATTGATTGCAAATTTAGACATGCACGTCAAACAACTTGCTTGACTATCGTGTTCTGATAATTTCTCTGTCCTTTGTTGCAGCTACGGCTTCCAGCAGATGGTCCACAGCATGAGCACTTACCTCACCCGGCTGCAGATGGACCACGTCCTGGCATCACCGTTCCTGGGCATCCAGTGCGACGAGAGCACTGACCGCACGCGAGGGAAACACATGATTGCGTACCTTACATTTCTGAAGAACCGCCAAGTTGCATGCGAGTTTTTCACTTTGCTGACGGTCGAGCGGTGTGATGCAGGGTCCTTGTTTGAGGTGCTTCTGAACCATCTTCCCTCCGCTGCCGTCGATGTGTCCAAGATCGTCGGCATCAGCACGGACGGGGCGTCGGTCATGACCGGGAGAGAGAACGGATTGGTGGCGCGTCTTCGTGAACACGTCCCTCATCTGTTCTCATGCCACTGCATCGCCCATCGGTATGTGAGTTGGTCTGTATTGTAGCATGTTATCTACGCTGATTGGTTTACTAACAAACCATAATACTTGTTCCCTGCTTTACACAGTGAGGCGTTGGCTGTGAAAGACGCCGCTGACTCAAACCCGGATCTCGACATGGTCGACAAGGTGGTGCGCACTGTGGCGACTATGCTCGGAAACTCCAGCGTGTGGAGTCAGCGGTTCAAGTGCCTGCAGCGTGTGATTTACAAGACCAACCTGGAAGTCCAAGGCATCCACACGGTGCGGTGGCTGTCTCGAGGAGATGCGGTGGCCAGGCTGTGCAAGGTCCTCAGCACTTGCATCGTGCTGCTCTGGGAGCACAATCACAAGGCGTACGAGATTGTCACCTGCTACAAGTTTCAGTTCTGCTTGTTTTTCTTGGCGGACATGAACGACCTCAACCGCTGCTTCCAGAGACGAGAGGTGAGGTCGCATGTTTGTATGATGTTGCTACGTGAGGTTCGTCACTACGCTGTTGCTCATCCTTCTCCCTCTTGTCTACCCCTGCTCTAACACAGCTGGACGTGACTGAGATTGCGAAGATGATCGAGTCCACAACGAGTGACCTTATGGAGCGCTACTTGACGCCAGAGAAAGCTTTCGGGGGCGAAGGGAAGAGCTGGCTGGTGAACTTCCTCAAAGTCCACAAGGAGGGTGGAGGCAAGCAGGTCCGGGTGCGCGGCGTGGACAGTGTTGGACGCCCGATCAATCACCTGTACACCATGCATGAGCGAAAGCTGAAGGGGCACAAACACGGAAGCACCTACGCAGACTGCGTGAAGCTGTGCCGCAAATTCGCCCGTGACTGCGTGGACAACCTCAACAACCGACTGGATGACCTTGGGAAGCTCGGGCCGACGAAGCTGTTCCGGGCGGGGAAGTGGCCGAAGATCAAGGCCCAGCGAGAGAAGAAGTGTAAGGAGTGGCTGAACGGATGCAGCAGGCTGTTCCGCAACAAGCTGCCGGGATTCGACCTCAAAGCAGCAGAGAGGGAGCTTCCAACCTTCTACGCGATCATGGAGGCACACCATGAGATGGAGAGCTTCACCCAAGGCCTGTCCAACTTCCTTGGGAGTGCAGACTCCAAGAGGTAGCCTATACTTTGCTAACATGGGTTTTACAATCTTGTTGCGCATCGCTAACTGTTTCCGTTGTGTTGTGTGTACAAATGTGCCTGGCAGGAGATGGCCCAACCTCATCCTGCTGTGGCAGGCGCTGGCTGTGCTCCCCCTCTCCACCGTGGACTACGAGAGAGGGTTCTCTAGGCAGAACGTCATCAAGTCCTGGGTGCGAGGAGCGCTGTGCAACGCGCGTCTGGGGGAGCTGATGAAGATATCGCTCCTCAAGTATGAGATCGACTGGTCGGAGGCACTGGAGGTGTGGAGGTCCCTGTGGAGGAGGCGCCATGCGAAGAGCTTGAAGCTGGCTGTGACAGAGAGGGAGAGGAGGGGGAAGCAGAAGGAGGGTGAAGATGTGGCTGCTAAAAATGCCGGAGAGAATGAGGATGAGGAGGAGGAGGAGGAGGAGGAGGAGGAGGAGGAGGAGGAGGAGGAGGAGGAGGAGGAGGAGGAGGAGGAGGAGGAGGAGGAGGAGGAGGAGGAGGAGGAGGAGGACGATGAAGTGGAACAGTCCTCGGCGACGATCAGGAGATCGTGGGGGAGGAGGAAGCGGAGGACAATCCATTCCTGTCGGACGATGAGGATGTGGAGGAGGTGTACTTCATAGACAAGCCCGTGCACTGGACTAGATAGAGTAAGAAAGTGCATGCAGTTGTATCATTTTGGAAAATAGTGCACTGTTAATAGCAACCCTGTTTTTGAGCTGTGAACCCTGTCCGGTCAGAGTTGGACTTCGTGTAACACTGAGTTATCAGGGTAGCTACCTTGCGAAAAATGTGCCCTCATAATAGAGGGTCAAATTTTTTACTGGAATCAGGGAGTCCTAAGACGAAACGTCAGCCCTGGGCATAGTACTAACGGGGTCGTATGTAACACCCACCCCGTATAAGCTACCCGGGGGTGTACAATTACGGGGGGGTGTTTTATCCGGGAGAATACGGTATGTCTTTCCCATGCCTGAATCGCGCTTTGTGCTTAGGACAATTGCTGTTGTTTCCTTCTATATTTGAAAGGATGGTAATTCGGACCACTAAGGCACATTTGGTAAAATCTTATTAAGGTAGTGTTTACATTTAGTGCCGCTATTGAAATATAACTGGCTGATTCCGTTATGCGAAAACGAAGTCATTGTTGACATGCGTTTTCTTGATTATGAAGTGGCGAATGGGGGGTCATCACTCGGGTCGACGAGTTCTGCGTCAAACCGTTGATATTCCCACTATCGACGCTGGTCGACAAGGGCTCCTTCAATCTGAAATTCACATCCACCGTCAGACAATGTAACCTCAATCGACGGTCATTTTTAACCGAGAACCAGCTTTGCTCAGCACGAACTCCGGTGACCCAGGCCACTACTTCGTGCCTGCCGAACCAAGCTCGAACCTCGCTTCCGAACAATTTGCTTTGGAGCTCTGACTCGGGCCTCGCCAAGCCAAGCAAGTCCGTGCGGCCCTGCTTCCCTGCCTGTGACCTGTCTTCCTTCGCCTTCACCTTCTCCAACGCAACTAGCGGTAGCAGCTGCCAGTATATCAACCGCGCTTCTGTTCCATAACTTGTAACTGCAGCCTTCATTTCTCCATCAACCTGGTTATTTGAGCATCACCAACGCACAGCTATTATCTTCTGTCTGTAGGCATTTCCTTCCGTTTATAGTTCCTCTTGTCACACTATGTCAGGCCGTGGAAAGGGTGGCAAGGGTCTTGGAAAGGGCGGAGCCAAGCGACACAGAAAGGTGCTTCGCGATAATATCCAGGGCATCACCAAGCCGGCTATCCGTCGTCTCGCAAGGCGTGGCGGAGTCAAGCGTATCAGTGGCCTGATTTATGAAGAAACTCGGGGCGTGCTTAAGGTCTTTCTTGAGAACGTTATCAGAGACGCTGTGACTTACACTGAGCACGCTCGCCGGAAGACCGTCACCGCCATGGATGTCGTCTATGCTCTGAAACGCCAAGGCCGCACGCTCTATGGGTTTGGCGGTTAACTCAATTCTGCCCTGTATAGACCTTCGCCTGGTTTGCTCTGGCATGCGCCTGTTTTCTCAACATGGTAGTGTTAACACTTTGAATGTAAGTTTCTTTTATTATGAAGCTGATGGGTTGATCTATGCTGTTTTTTAACTTCAAATTTGGTTTATTGCAAAAACTCTTGCTACCTTGGGCGGCATATAACATTGCTCATTTTTTTCAACCACTTACACAATGGCCTCACGGTTGAAGCACCTGATCTAGTTCTAGATGGTGGTAGTCTTTTCCAGCTTGCTTGAAATGATCAAGCTGATTGAGGTGATGTTAGGCTAAGATCACGACATGTTCCGTACTAGTTCCTAGACGGAGAACAGTGGAGCACATAAATAGCATTCCCCATTTCAGCATCTTGGACATCTCAAAACACGATGTGTTGGCTACAAGAAAAGAAAAAACATTTCATACAGGAGGACAGCAGTTCCTCATACATTGGTCTAATAAAGCAAAAGTAGGCATCTACATGGGGCATCTCATAACTGAGTTGTGGCTTCGACCAGTAGTTGGGAGGACCTTGCGGAATGATGGAGGAAGGCGGGATCAAAGAATGGTGCAACCACATCTGCCTGACGCTGCATCAGCTGGTTGTTGTGTTGCTGCAGATAGAACATATATGGGGGGTGAAGAGAGGGGGAGTGCCAGAGGTGGAAAACAGGGGTGATGGGGGGAACACAAGTGCAAGGAACCGAGAGCGGAGGAGGGAGGGAGGGAGGGAGGGAGAGAGAGAGAGAGAGAGAGAGAGAGAGAGAGAGAGAGAGAGAGAGAGAGAGAGAGAGAGAGAGAGAGAGAGAGAGAGAGAGAGGGATGGAGGGAGGGAGGGAGGGATGGAGGGAGGGAGGGAGGGAGGAGGGGGGGGGGGGAGGGAGGGAGGGAGGGAGGGAGGAGGGGGGGGGGGGAGGGAGGGAGGGAGGGAGGGAGGGAGGGAGGGAGGGAGGGAGGGAGGAGAGAGGGAGAGAGAGAGAGAGAGAGAGAGAGAGAGAGAGAGAGAGAGAGAGAGAGAGAGAGAGAGAGAGAGAGAGAGAGAGAGAGACGGAGAGCGGAGAGCGGAGAGCGGAGAGGAATCGGGGGAAGGAGGCACAGAAGGAAGAAAGAAGGGGGGATGGCAGGAGGAGAGACGGACAGAACAAACAGGAGGAGGCGGTCAGATGAAAGTAGAGGTGCCAAAACGACGCAGGAAACCTCGCAGGCACGCAAGCATCACCGGGAAGGCATGCAGACTAAGAACGGTGAGATAGAGCGAGCGCAAAGGAAAGAAAACAAGGATTTCCGACCCAGAAAGGGGTGCATGGGTGGAAGGGGGGAGACAAAACGTAGAGGCAAGGAGTAAATAAGATTCAGAGAGAGAAAGAGGGAGAGAGAGAGAGAGAGAGAGAGAGAGGGAGAGAGAGAGGGAGAGAGAGAGAGAGAGAGAGAGAGAGAGAGAGAGAGAGAGAGAGAGAGAGAGAGAGAGAGGAGAGAGAGAGGGAGGGGGGAGGTGGAGGAGGAGGTGGAGGTGGAGGGAGAGGGGGAAGGGTAGGGGAGGGGGAGAGGGAGAGGAAGAGGGAGTGGGAGCGAGACCGGGAGAGGGTGAGGAAGAGGAAGAGGGAGAGGGAGTGGGAGAGGGAGAGAGAGAGGGAGTGAAAGAGGGAGAGGGAGAGAGAGAGGGAGTGAAAGAGGGAGAGGGAGAGGGAGAGGAAGAGGGAGAGGGAGACGGAGAGGGAGAGGGAGAGTCGAGAGAGAGAGAGAGAGAGAGAGAGAGAGAGAGAGAGAGAGAGAGAGAGAGAGAGAGAGAGAGAGAGAGAAAGAGGTAGAAGAGAGAACGGGTACCTGTGGTTTTGTCTGCTTGTGCTGGGTGAACGACGACGTGCATTGTGATCGGAGTGCCTACGATCTCGCTCACGGAACACGAGACTCCGACAGCGTCTTAGTGTTCTCCAACAATCTCCCGGCGTTGATAAGAGTAATCTCGTTCACCGATTTTGGACCCCCCTCTGCAGAGCAAAGAAATTGGGAGCACATGCGAGAAACTAAACTATCGATACTTTCTAAAAATGCTTTCAATTTCTCTCTTTCAGGAATGTGGAAGTTATCTGTACGGATAATATGCGATCATGGTGGCACGAGACAGACAAGCGCAACGTAAGATAGTGTGCAACAGCATGCGAACGACCGCAGGTCGTGAGTTAAGGTAGCTCATACAGTGAAGTGGCGGGTGATGGGGACAAAGGAGAGTCAGTAACTTATTTCGAACGGAAGTGTAGAGTCTGATCAGAAATGGATGGTAACGCCGTCGCACGGTAGCGAGAATAGCAAGGCGTGAATAACGATAGCAATGCATGAATTACGATGCTTTGCAGAACGGGCATAATGGTGCCAGGAAGGGAAAAAAAGACATTGATTACGGCATGTGGAATGAAGGCATGTGAACAACGCGTGAAGACTTACCGAAAACGCAGAGACGGCTGCCGGAAGAGCACAGCAAAGAGAGAAACCATACTACAAACACAAAAAAAACATAGATTAACAAAGTAAGAAATCCATAGCCGAGATAGTACCTCCAGGCCATTGAGCAAGTATCTTTTCCTTCAACGACAAGACCGTAGCCTCCTGCTCGAACTTGTTCGGACCGATGTCCGATCCGTCCGCTAACCGAAACTTCACTTCTATCGGCTCGTCCGACACGACAGCCATTGGCTCCCCCAGCTTCACGCAACCCTAAATAGGGGTAAAATAACCCTATTAAGCTATATTTACGGAAGGAACTGCTATGTTCAGTAATTCCTACTCAGGGCCGATAATCCAGCCTAAAGTTCAGTCTAGATCACGAAAAATAGGGACGCTTGCAGCACACAATTGTGAAATCCATGGAGGCGAACCCGCATCGGTAACTATATGTAGAACGCCGGCAGATGAAGTAAACAGTTTAGATCTGTCCACGGCAAGGACAGGGAAAGAAAACCTAACTAACGTGTGGTGGGGGAGGACAAGGTAACAGGGAAAACGAAAATATCACCAGTGAGTGAAGTTTGTTGAAGCGGAAACACCTAGGGACGGAGTAGCCTCGGAAGAAGGGAAAGCAGGGGAAGGCGGGGAGAGGAAGCAACGCGTGTGGGTGGGAGGGACTAGAAGCACTGGGGGAAGACCTGGGGAACGGTGGGTGGGGTGGGGGGGGACCGGGGGTACAGGCGCACACAGGTATGTTGCGGCGATGGGGAGAACAGTTCAACCTGTGCAAGGGGCACCGGGAATGGAGCTCGGGGAAGGGGGGAAGCCTGGCTCAGCGGGAGGGAGGGGGGAGGGGCTGTTGGCGGGGGACTATGCGGAACTGAGATGGGCGGAGGTGGCGTGGGGAAAGGAAAGCGCGTGGCGGGAAGCGTGGGTGTTGTGGCGGTTGGTTTCGTCACGCGGAATTCTTGTAACGTGAAGCTGCACTTTCGCCATTCTCGGACAGTAGGCACAGACTTTTCGTGACAAACTGTTGCCGATTTATCTCGTTTGTTCTATCCACACTGTATCCTGACCACTCATTAAGCACCCATATACCATCTTGTATTGTAAAACGCACTACCCTACACCGACATAATGCGAGTCGCAACAGCGAGTCAGGGCAGTCAGCGAGCTTGGCCGTTCAATTTTTTACCGCGCCGTGCCAGAAAGCTTGCCGCCATCGGCGCGAGTCCAGTGCTTCAACCACCGCCGTCGATCTCGCGAAATACAACACATGTCTGCTACTCCATCTTCCCTTTCCTCCTTCCCCCTCCTCTTGCTCATTCAAGTTTCTCTCTCCCTTTCATTTTCAATCATCAACATTCCTGAGAACACAGCTTAGAGAAACTTGAGGCAGCTTTCCGTGTTAGTACGTTGCAAGAGTACTACTATCCTTTCGCATGTTTTCAACATACGGACGATAATCAACAGGCCGTTTTCTTAGCCGCCTCTTTGAGACGCTGCCGTCATAAACTCCTCCTAGCTGCTGATTGACTCAGGAAGCCCTGAACGCAATAAAATTCGCACTGTGGTCTGCACAGCCTTCTCACGGTTTCCGCGATGGCGCCAACGTCGTCACCATTGCGCATACTTTCCACCATCAAGTCACTTCGTCGATTCTCGTCACTCCGTCGGTGTCTGCTACTCCACCCTTCGTCCCTAGCCATCGCTTCTCTCTCCATCTTTCTCCTCCTTCCCTTCAGCCTAGTCTCGACGGCTCCAGACGATTTCCCGCCTCCCATCCCGACGATGTCGCCGCGTTAATCGCGGTCAAGGCGACTTGGGGCGAATTCCTAGGGCTCCGACACGTGGCGCGTAACCCGCTCTTGCCGCGAGTGGAAAGGCGTGACGTGTGACCCATCCAGCGGTCGAGTCAGGCGGATCGATTTGTCAGGATGTCAGATTCAGGGGAGGCTGCATAGGATATCGGCAATCTTCCGCTATGGAGTCACTCATTCTAAGCAACAACGAAATCGACGGTTTCTTGCCCGCCACTTTTATCTCGTTTATGGAAGCTGCAGTCGCTGTTTCTAGATAGGAATGGAATTAGTGGGCATATCCCGGCTGGGTTGGGCTCGTTACCGAATCTTCGCATGCTCGACTTTGGTTACAACAATTGACCGGCACGATCCCAGACGATATCGGTAACAGTAGTTCGATCACTTCGCTCATTCTACAGCACAACCAGATTGGCGGGAAGATCCCGCCCTCGTTAGGAGCATCCCCGTCTTTGTCTGTGCTCATCCTCAATAACAACCGCATAGATGGGCAGATTCCGTACGCGATAGGAACAGCTTCGAATCTGTATTCGCTGGACTTGAGTCACAATCGACTGTACGGACGGATTCCCGATGTGTTCTCGCATTCGCCCAGCCTTTACATGCTCAATGTGGCGAATAATTTTCCTCACCGGTCAGCTGCCCGATTTCCCCTGCGAAAACTGGCGATATCACGGCGAATCCGAGTTTTTCGTCGACGTGTCAAACCACTACTTGTACGGGCCGCTGAAAATGATGATGGGAAAACGTTTCAATCTGCCCGACAAGTGACCGCGTGGCCTGGCTTGCGGGTTTCAGTGGGGGGGAACTGCATGTCCGGTTCTTTCAGCTGCCCGCTACACTTTCTCCAGCCTCAGCGAAAACCCGCCAATTGCAACGCGTTCTGCAAAACATTTTCGTTCGCCGGGCAGTGCGGCGGGCAGGGAACATGCATTCCCAAAAGCTCGGTTTCTCAACGGCTGATGCGGAATGTGACGTGTGCTTGTAACGAGGGCTACCTGCCCGACCCTAAAGATCCTTTTGCATGTCGCGAGGGAGGGGGAGCTTTTGGAGCAAAAGGAGGACGTATTGCGGAAAGAAGCACTGTGGAGGGCGGAGGCGGCGGGGGAAAGCGGAGGAGAGGCGGAGGTGCGGGGAGGGGCGGAAGAGGAGGGGAGAGAGGAAACTGTGCGGGGGGGGGGATTATCAGGGGGAGGGGGAAGAGGAGGAGGGGGAAGGGCAATGGGTGTCGGTCGGAGATTTAGCAGAGCAGGAAGCGGAAACAGGTGGGGCGGAAGGGGGAGATGAGGTGAGCGTGGGGGAGTGGGGAGAGGTGCAGGTGGGGAGAAGGGCGGGGGAAGGACGGGGGACGGGGAAGCGGGGGGAGCGGGAGGAGCAGGGGGAGCGGCGGAGGGTAGAGTGGATAGGATGTTGAGGGGAAGCTGGGGGGGAGGGAGGGCGGGGGGGAAAGCGGAAGGAGGTGGGGGGAAGGGGTTGACTGGGGACAAGGGGGGGACGCGCGGAGTGGGGGGATGTGGAGGAAAAGATACTCTAACACGAGATATGACAGATATGACGCGTTTCCGTAGAAAAAGCAGCTGCTGCAATTGAGGTTCTTGCAAGGGAGCCGAATATAGGAGGGTTTTAACAGGAAGGGAGAATGGGGATATCTGGTCTGGCGGAGACACTAGGGGGTGTGGAGGAGGAGGTTGAATTGCTGCCTTTTCTTGGGAAAGCTTTGTTTAGCATAGGTAATGCCATTCCGAAGGGGGGAAAGGGGGGTGTTGAGCTTGGGGTTTGGTTTAGGAGATAACCAACTCCAGAACATTAGTATTCATCTACCCAGACAGTTTAGTCAGGTAGTAGCTGACCTTTCGTCTGACATAATCCTGACTCTTGTAGTTAGCTTTGTACCGTAATGTCAAATGTCGTAAGAGCATGATATTGACCTTTGAGGAGCATTACACATGGTGGTCCTAAGCTTGAAATATAGAACCCCGGGTCTAAACCCTGTTGGGCTGAACGCCCTAGGATCTTTGGTAGAGTTAAAGTCTGAGTAAACGATGTAGTAGCGGAAGCGTTTTGAATAAAGTCCTTGAACCACCTTGCGCTAGTATGTGAGGGCAAAGTAAGTTGATTAAAGCAAAGAGATACAAGAAAAAATATGAGTACAGAGAATATGAAGAGACACAATTGTAACTACTTTACTCTTGCGGTTCGATACAGTGCGACTCGGGCAACTGCTCAATGTCGAGTCAGTTGTGTGTCCTTGCTGTCGCGCTGCATTTGTCAGGTCAAAAGGTCGCTGACCTTTGACTTTCGCGTAACCTCCAGCGGTTACATCAACCTCCGAGGGTTGACTCGCTGGTGCTTCGATTGCGTTGCTTCGCTTGTGTCTTGGAGTTTCGACACGACAGAGGCGCTTAAGACTATTTGTTCCCAACAAACCCAAGCACATATCAAGATAGCATTTCATATTGAACGTGTGATTGAAATGTACTGACTTGCAAGCCCGGCCCCACTCACTTAGACAACTGATTGAGAAAGCTTGCTTCTGTAGCAATATGCATCGTTCTCATTACAATGGTGCTCAAGTACAATGGTTCCTAGCAATAATAATAATAATACACCATCACATCCAAAATGTCTAAGAACTACTACTCTCTAAAGATTACTAGCATGGGGAGGGTGGGTGGGAATTGAACTTGAGAGATTGTAAAAATGGTTGGGAACAAATAATCTTAAGCGCCTCTGTCGAGTCGAAACACCAAGACACAAGCGAAGCAAAGCATATCGAGGCACAAGCGAGTCAACCCTCGGAGGTTGATGTAACAGCTGGAGGTTACGCGAAAGTCAAAGGTCAGCGACCTTTGACCTGACAAATGCAGCGCGACACCAAGGACACACAACTGACTCGACATTGAGCAGTTGCCCGAGTCGCACTGTATCGAACCGCAACAAGCAACAGTAAAGTAGTTATAATTATGTCTCTTCATATTCTCTGTATTCATATATATATTCTTGTATTTCTTTGCTTTAATCAACTTACTTTGCCCTCACATACTAGCGCAAGGTAGTTCAAGGACTTTACTTAAAACGCTTCCGCTACTACATCACTTTACTCAGACTTTAACTCTACCAAAGATCCTAAGGGGCACTCAGCCCAACATGGTATGAGAGCTGGTTAGAGTTAAAATCATTTCTCCTCAACACCTAATACACCAAGAGACATGTCTACTAGAAAGGAGAGGAGCTCCTCCAACGGCTCTCCTGGCACTACTCCTACTCCACCTCCTGCCTCTGGCCTACAGACAGAGGAAGGGACAACAACGAGACCGGCAGCTGGGTCTACTGAAACACCCGCAAACCAAGGCGTGGGCTTCGATCCAAGCATGATGGAGAAGTTCTTCTCCTTCATGTTCTTCTACGAGCAGCATCAGCAAGGAGGACATGTGCAATCAAACAACAGCAACAACAACAACAACGTGACGCCCATGAGTCTTGATGGCTCATCCTACGCACGCGCGAATCAACAACAACAACCTACCTTCGCTCCGTACGAGCCTCACCGCGGCTCCGTCAGCTTCATGCCACAACCAGAACCTGCACCGGGACAAGAGAGAACGTTGGACACACTACAAGTTCAGTCGCAGTTGCGCACGTTCTAAAACTGCAAACGACAAAACCCTTCGACGGGAAGTACTTCTTTACCTTGTCATTCGAATTTGAACTGATGATGGAAGGAGCGCAAATCCTCGGCTTCTTCGACGGGTCCCTGCCATACCCAACAAACGGCACACAGTATGAGAAGCAGCACTACACCTATCAACCAATGATGGCGTACACGATACTGCTGAGGAACATCACTTCATCTCAACAACAAAACATTCGGTCTTACCGAGGCTACGGCAACTCCGCGGAGCTCGCGTACAATCACTTGAAGACCCTGTATCAAGCAACAGACAGCGTAAACCAAAGTCAGTTAATGGCGCAGCTAACTACAATCGAAATGAAACCGGGCGAGAAGGGAATGGCGTATATCAGTCGCTGCCGCGAGCTGCGCAACAAGCTTCTTCGATGTGGAGGATCGATTTCAGATGACGCCTTCGTCACGGTTGTCATCGGCGGTCTTGGTCTTCACTGGCGCTCCACTCGCGCCATACTACGAGCCCACGGGAAAATCTCTGAAGCGGCACTTTGCGCCGAAATCCACGCCGAACAGCAAGACATGGACCTGCAAGAAGAATGACAAAGGAGAAAGGTGTCAGTGTCCGAATTCGCGTTTCACACTCAACGGCGCTACAACAAGAACAACAATCGACCGAAATTCATACCTCCGTTCTGCCACCTCTGCAAGACTTCAGGGCACCCTCGTACGCACTGCCCAAATCGACAACGCCAACTTCGCCTTCAAGCAGTCAAGTGGCTTCAACGCAAGCAAACCCGACAACTTCAGTCCACGTCTCAACAACATCAACGGGACAACCTGCAAAAGAAACAAGAAACATCGTCAGCTGCATGGCAAGGCTGAGTAACTCCTGCGTAACTGAGTCACCACCATATTACTCACCAGAAGAACAACTCGACAACAGTACGCCTCGCTGCGAGTCACTTCAACAAAACCCGACGTACGCCGCCATCGCCCAAAGCGAGCCGACCGGAAAGGATACATGGTTCCTGGACAGTTGCTGCGGACAACACATGTGCTCTTCAGGACGTTTCGTTCAACGCGAGCACCAACTTCAACGAGAAGTCGTCATCACTGTCGCCAACAATCAGAACCTGCGCACACGACGACAAGGGGTAGTGCAACTTCAGTCACGAGAGACGAATGTCGTACTACAAATGTCCAAAGTCCTAATAGCAGAAGGACTTGGCTACAACTTACTGAGCGTCAGTCAGTTGATGGCGAAAGGCATACATCTGGAAGCCGACAGTACCACCCAGGAGTTCAAGCTGTACCACGGGAAGGGCGCCCTCTACATCGGAAAAGCGATCCTGAAGAACAATGTCTTCGTCCTCGATTTTGTCCCAGACCTGGGCACCGCAGACAGTGACGGGATCGTCACCTTCACATCTTGGATGCACCCGCCGGATCTCGACCCCGACTTCAGTCCGGAAGGCTTCTGGTATTCCCATACCATTCCTGAAGCAGAACGAACACGTGCGTTAGTAACAATACAACATTCAGCAGCAGCAGTGACAACATCGGCAGCAGCAGTGACAACATCGGCAGCAGCAGAGAGAGACAACATCGGCAGCAGCAGTAACAACATCGGCAGCAGCAGAGACACATCGGCAGCAGCAGAAACAACGACACCAGTCCTCGTTGACGAAGCACCACCAACACCCGCACAGCAGCTGAATCCGACTCAACGGGAAGTCCATAGAAGCGCAAACTTCATCGCCAGCTTCTACTCCAACTCCGACGCGTATCGACGTTCACCGGACACCGCGCCTCTGAAGACATCTGGCACGCACGCATGGGACACCCAAGCAACACTGTGTTAAACAACACAATAAGAGCAGGAGTCCTTGACAAGGACTCATTACTACTACTCGATGGCAGAGAACTTCAACGAGCACGATGAACTTGTCTTACCTGCCCCGAAGCCGACTTACCACATCAGCCGTTCATTCCTCATCACAACCCGAGCGCACCCGCGTACGCCACTCGAGAAGGTGTACAGCGATATCCTGTTCAATCGGGAACCAGGAAAAGTTACATACAACTACACGATCACCTTCATCGACGCCACCACCCGTTACGTCTGGCACCTAAACCTACCTAGCCGCGACATGGCATTCGCAGCCTTCGTTGCCTGGCTACCAGTAGCAGAGAGAGAATCGGGCGTGCAACTGAAAAGCTTCCAGTCAGACGGAGGAGGAGAATACACCTCTTAGCGATTCAAGCAGTACCTGGCGTAAAGGGGAATCAAGCAGCTCATCTCCCTTCCCTACGCCCATCAGCAGCAAGGAGAAGCAGAAAGAATGAACAGGACCCTGTAGAACAGCATGCACAAACTGTTACGTGGCATGCGGCTACCCAACCACCAGTGGCCTGCAGCAATGGACCACGCTGTCATGCTGCACAACTTGATGTCGTCGTCTTCACTTCCGAACAACGCGTCACCGCATCTGCTGTGGACAGGGAAACAGGGCAGCACAAAAATGTTACGAGTTTTCGGGTGCATGGTACAGTACCGACCCCCAGAAGCACGAGCGGGCCGATTTTCACAACGCGCACAGTGGGAACTACACCTCGGCATCGAAATGAACTACAAAGCGTGGAAAATCTTCGATGTCCACTCCAAGGAAACAGTAGCAACACGTGACGTAATTTCTACGAACGACTCACGCTTCAGACGTACCTTGCCAACTTGCAAGAAAATGAAGATCCCACAAGTGGCTTTCGTGGTGACCGAGCCTTCGCCTCAGCAGCGGACGAA